ACTAACTGAGCACTAACTAAAATAACAAAATAAAGGGAATAAATCTGGTGTACTAACACTCACATTTGCTGAATGTAGGCTCATGTCAGCTAATGTTTTTTTAAAGAACGCACTGGACTTTGCTAAGCACCCTAGCACGAACTCATGCTCTCATTAAAAAAAACATTAGCCTACCGACACACACCTAATCACAGGGCATATCCCTATAACGTAGGCACTACTAAAACACGCGTCTGAACTTTCTTGTTCACGAAGAACACGCAATAAAAAATAACGCGGATGCCGTATACGTCATGAGCATCTAACATCTAGAACTTGCGTAAGTTTTGCGCTTATAACCCTGTACTAAATGTTTTTGAAAGATGAGCATTTCGAAATTCGCTTTTCATTGTCTTCTTAAATATTCCTTCAAATGCTAATTCACTCATTTAAGATGGTATAGAACTTGGCGCAACACAAAAAAGGGCCCGAAACATACAAACTTCGGCTCCACTCGACACACGCTACCACTCTTACAAAATTAGCGGGGCGTACAGACCTGCATTCACGACTAACGTGCTCTTAAATCAAAGATAAACTCATAGCACGAAGTTGGCTAACTGATGCGGATCAATCCTTCCACATAACGCATAACAGCTTGGTTAACAGCTTAACTAAAAACTCACACACTGCTTAATTATACGGAAGTGAAAAAATGTATTCAAGCAAATTAGCCGAGGAGATGACGAAGAACATTACTTTAAAAGGAAATTGAAACAAACAAACATACTTCTACGAAAATTCTTGTGTCCCGTGTTCTGCAGCCTACAGATGTCCCCCCATCTTTAGTCGTACACGCGGTGGTCGTGGTCTTGGCGGATTTCGGGAACGCCCGAGGCAACGATGCGTATGTGCTACCAGCTTAACGGCGCTGTCACGCATAATTCGTGATTTCTGCCTGTTTCTGTCAGCTCGGCGGAGGAGACCCGAGCAACGCGTGGGATAGAGCAATGTTCTCTTTCTTGCACCCGCACGGAGCAAAGTAACTGTGGCCATTCTTTTAGGACCCATTCGACACTCCTGTCCCCACAAAGCTTTAAATATTTGGCGTGCATGCCGTGGCGGGGAAGCGCTCTGTGGCCTCCTACCTTTTTGCCGCTGGCGCCTTACTTCACGCGACAAAGCCCTCTTCAGAGAACTGTCCTATGAGCTACCATTCTTTTTTTCGCCTGGCAGTGTGCAACTTTTTTCATCTCTTCGTTTCGTCGCGCGTGTTCGCTTCTTCCTCTTTCGGCGACGTTTGTGACCGACCTTTCCCTCATTGCTTTGAAATTGGTCGCGGGTTGAGTCATCGGCGGTATTACCGTTCAAAGGCAACCCATAAGACTTGCTGTGGGGAGAACCGGAAGACTTGCTCTTTCCATGCGATTGCATTCTTGCTTTATTTTTACTTTTCGTCCGGCGGCTCGGACGCATGAAAGCAACTTCGAAGTCGATACTGATCTCACAGTCTCGCTAGCTAAACTCAAATATTTTGCGCCTTTTTTTACCAACGTATTACCATCTTTTTTTTCTCGTGGCTTTCCGACATCTTCTGCGTCTGCACCGCTTCTCGCGCTTGTTTCTGAGCCTTCTGATTGCATCTAACAATGGTGAACCCTCTCACAGCTTTCGTCAGCTGTATCACCCGAACAGTCTAAGTGATTTTTGACAAAGTCATCTCTCTCGCACTCTAGACTGGCGGCAGCTCAAGACACTTCGCAAACAATGCAGCTGTTTCCCTCTGAACAATCTCGCTCGCATTGCTGGGAGCCATCTGTAACTGCACTGTTACCGTCGCTCTGTACAACCACTGCTTCTGAGCTTTATCCGTTGTTCTTGCCTACTTCATTCTTATTTGCAAGATCCACCGTCGCGACAACCACAGTTGATGTCTACTACACCAGCTTTTTTACAGCTCCCCTAGCTGCTTCGCTAGCATTTAACTGGCAAAGCACCTCGTCGCATTCGCTCTGACCTTAAGTGGCCTCTCTAATTAGAGCAGTATCTTTCGCAGCTCTCGCATTCGGTTCTTCTTCGAACCTGGTGCTGCCTTCACACGTGCTAGCCTTCTCTGCTACTCTGAACTGCACCTCACACATCTGTTCATCGCACTCCTCATGCGATACACTTCCGGATGGCTGAATCTTCCGCCTTATTGCCTCCACTTTCTGTTCTAGTAGTTCAATCTCTTCCTCTTGTTCCCTTCTTTTCTTTTCTCTACTTCTTGTTCTTGTTCCAAGAACCTTTTCAAAACATTTCACGGGAATCCGGTTTCCTCCTCACTGGCTTTTTGCAAAATCTGCCTCGCAATCAGTTTTCAGCCTGTACCCTCCTCGACCTTAATACCTAGGTTCTCAAAAGTACAGAAAAGTTCCTCTTTTAGTAGTGACGTCACCTCCATAATTGCTGGTTTACGTTGGCTCTGCGTCTCACAGAAAATCAAGGGATCCCTTTGACTAACTTTGACTAAATAAGTGATCTCCTTAACTCTCAGCTAACAAAATCCAGCTTCTAATCAACTCACACTCACAAAAGGAAGCCTGGGAAGTCAAAGCAAAGACCAAGTACACATCACAACACAGCACCATGTCGCGAGGTCCATCTCACCACGGCCGACCAGTTGTCAAGGGTATGACATTTTGATGATGGCATGGCACGGCGGGTTCTCTTTAGGGTAGCTGGCCTCCCGCCGTCGTCCGCATCGCTGATTTTCGCCAGTGAGGAGATGCTTTCGTAAGAGAGAAAGAATGAAGGTTTATTTACATAATAGCTGAAAGATGGGAACTGCACAGGGATTCAAGAGATCCCGCATTATGTACAACAGAGATTCAGTTCACCATTCCGCTTTTAGTTACAAAATGTCTGCGGCTTTTATAGTCCGCCGTCTCCTTGCATAGAGGTCTGAAGGAGGCGGTCACCACTCTTGCCACTAATCAGGTGACGAAGTCTATGTGGTCCACTCACACCAGAAAGCGTGCAGCCATTGCACCACTCGCAAGGGCGAAAAGGTCCAACGGTAGCACAAGTGCACCACATTATGACGCACCCGGCCCAAGCCTTGAAGGCACCGCAGGGCGAAGGGGTAGAGTCCGGAGAGGGAAAGTAGCGCTCCTCCGGGGAAATGGCCGCGGAGCCGAATGTCACAAGCGGTCCATGGCTGCTTTAAGCTACCGGCTACCAGAACCCTCTCGAACATGGCAGCCCAAACACTTGATTTCTGAGGACTGCTTCTGCGACGCGTTCCCACGCTTCCGGGCTGTTGGTGCGTTGCAATGGCCTCGCGTAGATGACAAAAGCCGAGTACGAGCGAGAGGTTGACTTAATGAGACCAGCCACAGTGGCGCCGTCCCACACCGTTCGAGCCCGTTCAACAAAGGGCTTGTCTCGTGAAGCTTTCGTTGAGACCCTACTGCTTCCCGGAGCATCTACAGGACAGCTTCTTGCAGACCTGGCGCCGATGGGGTTGAAACCATTCTAGCAGACCAGCCTACGCACAATGGCGTCTGCCCAGACAAACTGCCGGGTCAAACGTTATGGCGTGCGAAGTGTGTAGCATGTAGTGCAGTTTTACATGACACGCACATCATGATTATCACGTTTGTGTGTCATTTACCTTCGTCGTCTATTCACGTCAAGTGATACCAAGTTTGGTATTTGTGTAGCTAGCGAAACGGCCGTAAGCGCATCATGAGGCTGGCATGTAGTCAGGTTGTTACACGGCACGCGTGTCGTCATTATCATGTTTGAATGTGTCATTTACCTATGTCAACCATTCGCGTCACGTAATACCAAGTTTGTTACATGTGAAGCTAGCGAAACGGCCACGAGCGCGTCATGAGCTGGCATGTAACCGTGTTGTTACGTAACATGCGTCTCATGATTATCATGTTTGCACCAGTCACATACCTTCGTCATCCATTCACGTACGGTATTACCAATTTTGGTATATATGACGCTAGCGAAACGGCCGCGAGCACATCATCAGCGTGGAATGTAGTCATGTTGTTGCATGACACGCATGTCATGATTTTCACGTTAGGGTCTGTCACTTAAGTTCGCCATGCAATCATGCCTTACGATACCAGTTTTGCAACATGCCATGTGAACGAAACCACCGCAATAGCTGCAGGACCATGAAATGTAAATAATGACATCCATGACACATATGTCATGATTGTCATGTCATGAATGGTCAAATATGTTTTTCATACAGTCATGTTATGCCATACCAAGTTTGGTATTCATACCATTGCCGAAACAGCCAGGAGAGCTAGATGTCCTAGGCGACTAAATAGATAGATAGATAGATAGACAGACAGACAGAAAGACAGACAGACAGACAGCCAGATAGATAGATAGATAGATAGATAGATAGATAGATAGATAGATAGATAGATAGATAGATAGATAGATAGATAGATAGATAGATAGATAGATATGCTCAAATTCGCCGAAGTTCGCTAAGAAATGCTTCGCATTGAAAACAACAAGAATTATTTGCTGACGCGGGAGCCCCAAAACTCTCGGATGGATGAACGGATGTATCCGGCTGTGCCCTGTAGATTGGGCAGTGACTCGTGCCACCTAGCCATAAAGTTAGGTACTATCAGTGTGTGTTTAAGGATTTAATTTCACGCGCGCCTCGATTGTAGCCACTAATCAGTTAGCCTCCTCCTGGTTATTTCTAACAGTTTAATGTCTATTTTGCGTTCACTGTCCCTAGACCCCAATGCTTTGAAAAATCCGGCGCCATTGTGTTTCCCCGACTGTTCCGTTCTACGCCAACTGGCATCTCTCCAAGTTGGCCGGATGACTATAAAATATCTTAGCTGTGTTTTTAACCGTCATAACGACGTGGTAATACGTCACTGCAGTCATTTCCCGGCGCCTAGAATGCGGTAAAGACTTAGGTTTTTCGTAGTCTAGTATTTCGCGAACTCGTTCGCAAATCTAGTATACCGTGCGTTTTTTTTTTTCAGACGCGAAGTACGCATGATCCAGCGTACGTCAGTGCTTCGTGCCGTCAACATGGGCCTGTTCTTCATGTCATCCAAGCTGGTGCTGTTCCTCTGCTTCGTCACGTTCGCGCTTCTTGGAAACACCCTCACCTCGGAGTGCGTGTTCGTCAGCATGTCGTTGTTCAACAGCCTGCGGCTCGCCATGACCCTCTACTTTCCTTTTGGAGTTGGACAGGGAGCCGAGACACTCATCTCGGTCAAGAGGTTGCAGGTGATTTTCTCGCGGCAAGCTGCCTTTAGAAATGATATGAACGCCGTGAAGCGTGCTTTAAAATATCGAGTGACCATCGTTCTATTAAGGAAGATCCCAAAATAAGATAATGTTTTTCCCTTTTGGCTCAGAGAAACGTTCCTCCGCCGTCAAAACCAGATGGCTGACACTAGCTTCACGAAGCGATTAATCCTAGCGAGTGAGTGTGTTAACTTTATTAGGTCCACATTAGACGCGAGTTAACTCAATGTCACCTGGCTAGGCCTACTCGGGGACGGTCAGGTTAAACCTGACCACCCACGCGCGGGCCCGTTGGATGGCCAGGATTTGAGAGGTGAGGTCCTGGGCCTTACTCAGCTTGATCATTTCTTCCTGTTAGAAAGGGGGCTGGGAAAGGCAGCTCGAAGTCCACATAAACGCCGCACAAGGGCAATTCGGGCTTGGGAACCGTTGAGGGCATATTGTGCGCAGTGCCACAGGGCTCGGGTAGGTTCTTGTGTGGAGCATTCTGAGGGTAACAGCTTGGGTCCTGCACAGTAAGAAGTGTGGCAGAGGCACCATTATAACTTCTTGAGAGATAATGGTGCCCCTGAGAAGAGATAATATTCCTTAGATATGCCATACAACGGCATATCCAAGCACATGTATCTCTTCTTGAGAGATAATGGTGCTTGGATATCTCGTTGTACGTGGAGAGAGGCTCGGATTGCCAAGAGATGACGCGTTACCTGGTATATGGTCAGTCCAACCTTGTGCAGCCGAATGCACCTCCTGGTTAGAATTGATCGAAGCACCCTCAGTAGTTCCAATGTGTGCAGAAAACCAGACAAATGAGGAATTTCTGTGGTTTCTGGCTTTCTTGAAGATCTGTAGGACCTGGGGAACCGCTATAGCCATGTAAAATGGCTTGATTGCCGCCTTGGAATCTGAATAAATTGTGTCATGTACACCGTTCGTCAATGAAAGAGCAATGTCAACCTGCTTTGCAGCGCTGGAGCTAGAAGTGTGGATCGTAGCGCATTTGAATTGCTTCAGAGTAACATTCAACAACCACTGACGAGAACGCTTCATTTTGTGCGTATGACGCGTCATCCATGAAGCGGGCTCATTCCTTGTCCAAGCGGGCACTCGGAAGCAGAGCTTTACTCCTTAATTTTCTTCGTGCTGGGTTGATGGTTGGATGCTGGGTTTTTGGTTTCATTCAGTGGAGGCATCCACTGGATGAAAATCTTGTACCTTATCTTCGTTGGGCAGCTTCACAGCATCAGGACCGACGACCACGGGGTGGTGTCCCAGCATGCCGAGTATGGCCCTACCCACTGAAGAGAGTGCAACGATTTTCGACTAATGAAAAGTATGCGGTACAGGTAATTGCACAAAAAAATGGTCTGGCTGAGTTTGATTGATTGATTGATATGTGGGGTTTAACGTCCCAAAACCACTATATGATTATGAGAGACGCCGTAGTGGAGGGCTCCGGAAATTTAGACCACCTGGGGTTCTTTAACGTGCACCCAAATCTGAGCAAACGGGCCTACAACATTTCCGCCTCCATCGGAAATGCAGCCGCCGCAGCCGGGATTTGAACCCGGGCCCTGTGGGTCAGCAGCCGAGTACCTTAGCCACTAGACCACCGCGGCGGGGCGGTCTGGCTGAGTTTAATATCCAAAGATATGTGCATACAACCACCGCGGTGGAAAGGCAACAGACGGCACAAACACGTCGACTTCTAACAGAAATTTCATTGACACGGAAGCTTTTATGAATAGCCGAGTGATGACTTTTTTTCAGTGTTTCTTTTTTTTAACTGTTCACTCACATATTTCTTGTCATTAAGAGTGCAATTGGAATTCAGCGCGTCCCCGTCTGTTTCCTCTCCGTGACCGTGGTTTTTTTTCGTGCTTGTTAACCTTAAGCGAGACAATCAAATAAATCAGAAAAGCCTGTCATAGTTAAAACCTAAAGAAATCATAGCATATCCACGGAGTGAATGATGAAGAGTGGGGCGGAGCGGCCTATAACCGGTTCGTCTGTTCTTTATTGCTTCCGTCCGTCCGGGCGACAATTCGTGTGTCCGTCCGTCTGCCCGTGCATCTATCCGTGAATCCGTGCGTACGCCCGTCCATCTGTCCGTCTGATAGTCTGTCCATCCGTTTGTCCGTGCGTCCGTCTGTGTGTCCATCTAGTGAACACTCCCAGTACCGCCATCTGGCATATATGGCATCCTCTGTGGCACATACCCACTTTAGAGCGGGTATGTGCCAAGCATGTCACGTCGACGGACAGGGGACATTGCTCTACCCTAAAGAGCTTCACCCCTAAAAAACGGAACTGGAACATGTACATATCGCTCGGCCAGTCAGACAGCGTTCACTTTAAAAGAGAGAAATACTGCGAAGTTTTCACTCGGAAACCGCATGCTAGACTCGCTGTCTCTATTTCTCGAAGACTCACGCCATGTAGCTACTTTGTTCACGCATTTACGTAGCAATAAGCTCCGAGATGTGCCTCCATAGTGTACACACTAGCGCTGCAAAACAAGCAATCAATAACTCCACCTACTTACATTACGTAAGTATATAAGCGGAGCTGTGAAAACGCTACATCCCAGAAATACGCGGTATAAAGCTGGCGTCATCTGGAGAGATTCAAGAATGCTAAACAAAAGTATGAACCATCTCCCCAAAGACAACCCTGATGGGATTGGAAGCAGCAGCGGGACGCACGCCATTGACACGGCTGAAACTGGCGTCGACGCAAGTGCTGGAGGAACGGTTTGAAGCGAAAATCAGTGCAGCCTTTCCTCGAGTAAACATTCCTTTGAAACGCAAACACACGGGAGGCGGGTTGGGCTTCGTGTAAGTTTTATCACAGATAAACGAGCCGAAAGAGTGTTTCCACTCCATTGAGACGTCCCCCGCTACGCCACCGATTGCCGAAGAGAGGGAAGAACACTCAACCCTTTTTCTACCCGGTTCCCTCTTGGCTACGTGTCTCAATCCCTTCCCACATACAGGGATTCGTGCTGGGTCCGAGAAGAAAGAGACACTACGACTTGTTCCTGTTTACTGCTTCATTTATTTTATTACTAACTGCAAACATCGTATGCCCGCGTACATCAACCACTGCACAATATTTAACCACATGATTTAGACACTCGCGACGTTCGACACAGGGCAGGCACATAAAGAAAGTAACTGGAACAATATAAGGGTATGTATATAAAAAGAACACACCACCACACAAATGATGAAATTTTAAATGAATAAAACCACGCCATTTCTCAACGCGCCCCTTCTCTGGCTGCAAAGCCCGTCTAAATAGGGTGCATAAAGTTCGTCTCACGAATGGTCCGCGTTGTCAGTCTTCATCGTCTTCGTCGTCCTCGTTGTCTCTCTCAGCGATGTCCATCTTAATCTTCTTTCATAACGTCCTGCAGTCACTCGCTTCCTCGTTTCCCATCTCTAACTTTCATTCCTCGTCATATCACCTCTGCCTCAGTCTTCATCTCATCGGCTCAAATTGCTATCTCTTCACACCGTTATTCCGTCTCTACCATCTCGAGCTCATCGTATCATTTCTCTGACTCTCCTCGTATTGTCTCGTAGTCCCTTTTTGTAGGACCCGACTCCGCCCTATCGGGGCACCAAACCAATCGCCACTATCAACGCGGCATATTTTCTTGTAAGTCGGAGTGTATCATCTTCGACGGCCGCTCCCGCGGCCCACCCCAGTAGAAAACCCTTTTCCAAACAAAGCCGCGCAAGTAACCGTGTACAAACTCAAGCCCGAGAGAGAGAGATGGGCGAGCTGTCTTAAGACACTTTAATTACGGGCGAACAATAGTCCCGATGCTTCCGACAAAGTGCGCCGCCTGTAATGGCCAACGTCCGGAGTTTGCAGTGTTGTGCCGAAACGTTTTTGGCGGAACCAATTTCCCCGGTTTCTGGTACTTGATGAGCCGATGTCCTGAACGAGTCTCGACGTCTCCATACAGCTCGGTGTCTCCCGCGAAATTCTCGGTAGTCGCCGCTTCTTCGCCATTCAACGCCGTGGGTGGTCATCCGCGCAGAACGCAGTAATGAGCCCTGGAGCCACGGAGGCAGATAAAAAGTCAGGTCGGACCCAGCTCAGGTGCTGCGGCAGGGTCGCATTCTCCGAACCAACAAAAGGTGCTCTGCTGCTCCCCCATGCCACAAATCTCAAGGGTGCGCGCGGATTACCTCCACCTTACACTGTCAAACTGTCTGTAGACGACAAGGCGCCGCCCGGTACTCGAGTTAGCGCGGGGGGGGGGGGGGGGCAAGAACTGTAGAAATAATTCTTCTAGGTACTCCACTCCGGAATGCCCATTCGTTACACCGAAGGTTTTCTTTCCCTTTCTTTTATGCGTGGATTTAAGAAACGAGCGTAAACATTTTGAAAGGACCGGGGTTCAGTCCGTGTTTGCGGGGACGTCACAACCCCTTCACCTTGCAGAAAGATTTTTCCAGCGGGGAAATTCAAACACGAGAAAGGCGGGCGCATAGCGCCTTCGGGTTGCGCAGCGAAATTGAGACATTGCGGCAGTTTCAGGCATACAGTATGCGAACACAGCACACTTGTGATTCAGCCATGGCGGCAGCGCGTCGCTTTGAGGAACCAACCTGTGATTGTAGCTGAATCATCACCCACCACGAAGCGGTTTGATTTCGTGTTTCTACCGCGTACAACGCGCTTGAAACCTTGAGAATCACCGCAGAAACTCGTGGATGACGCGTGGACAAAACGCACACTGGTCACAGCTGCTTGTCGGATGGTTTGGCACGCAGCGTTCAGTCTTGTGTGCGCAAGGTTCACTACCATGCGAGCACATCACACACTTCGCCTGTACTGTCCACTCTCAGCACAACTGAACAGAGGATACACACATTTTAATACGCTTTCATTCCACACATGCACAAAATTTTAAGACTTTATCGAACATTTCAAACCAAACGAAAAGCGAGATGGCGGTAGAA